GTTCATTTTTTCTGAAAAGGTGGCGTCTATTTATTTGTGACCATGCTGTGTACATATATTTGGTACCACACTGATATGGATATCTCAGTGTAGTTCATGTGTTTGGGAACAGTTGAGTAACATGGTCTTTAAGACATTTCGGCAATGTATCAAGACGGAGAATAAAACAGTATTTTCTATAGAATGGTGAATAATGCTATCCCATGAGAGATTCTGTGATTACGTGATTGAAACTGCTCATCCACAGGTGACAAAATGTTTAGGAATTCGTATGTAGACTTTTCACTGGACTCTAGCATTTTGGCATTTCATGTTGGAGCACTGTGACAACCATGTCACTCAAGATCATTTACGTATCTTTTCGTTTTCGGATTTATTTTTATTTCTGTCCAAGATGTGTGATATTGGTGGAGTGTGCTGTAAACGCTATGCTAAATTCAATAATCTCAAAAAACGTACATACATTTGATGGTAAGTCTGGGGGCTCACATTGCTAAAATCTGGGTTTCAATACTCGTGATGGGCACAGTACAGATAGTCCATGGTGTTACTTTGTGCTTAATAATAAACATTTCATAGCGTAGTTGTTCTTTCACGGTATTACCAAAGTCCTGGATATGAGCTGCTACTTGGTTCTTTATTTTCATCATTTGACCAGATTTGACAGTCTGTACTTACTACATGTAGTTAAATGGAAACAATAATCCAAAATTGAAACGATCATTAAAACAGCAAATGATCAAGACATGCGGTAGTGTATCGTGCGGCCAAAACAACTCGCTGCCGGACACATTGTGTGTTATTAACAGAAGTGATAGTTTAGCGATTTTCTACCTTCGTTATCTCGGACTGCGGTAATTCAAACTATCGCCTACTATTAGTGTATGTGCTCTACTAGACACTTATTTTACATATCAAGTTTCAAGGCAATCCATTAAGAAATACCTGAGATATAACATCTCCAATTGTGATTGAGTTTCTTCCTATATTTTTTATTTGCACCAAAAGTACTGAAATTTTATTTGATAGAAAAACATGTTTAACTTTCATGGATGTTTTTCAAATTTTATACACTAATAGATCTTTTCAACCTACAATTAGGAAAGTTATTCAACATGTAAAAAGTTATTCAACAAAACCTTTCAAATTTGACGGAAATTTTTGCGCACGCCTACGCAAAAAGTAACGTAAGCTATCGGTCTAACATTTTTACTACAGCTTCACCTAAAAGTAAAAGTGAACCTTTTTAGTTTTGTCATTTGGATTAAAGACAGCGGATTTAGAGCAGCACAACTGTAAGGTAAAAGGAGGTGCAGATACATAAATATTGGTTTGGCCAAGCAAACTAGTTTATCAGTTTTTAGCTCAAGTTTTCAAAATAATCATATGGATGGGTGGTTCTTATTGATTATTCATTGTCAACTTTTCAACAAATATTTACTTATTTTTATAAAATTATCCTAATTAAAGAGCGTTTAGCGTCACGTGATATTAGCTTAAGCAATTAGCATAGATAATGATGCGCGATACCGCTGTATCGAATGCATGTGGGTGATGACAAGAAACCGTTAATATAAATTCCCAACGAAGCTATTAACATTGTTTTAGAGAGGAAAACTACCACCATATATTTTAAAGAATCTGGTTGGTTCTGTAAAGTTTGTTCCAAATAATAGGGTTGCGATCCTAAAGCTAATGGGGATTATTATCGAGTGTCACTTTCTTACTTGTTGTGGTTTGTTGAAGTGTATTGACAAAAGTCACGATATCTAGGCTTCGTATTTTGTTTTACCCACCATCATGCCCAAGTTGAACAAAAAACGCGTCCAAGCTAACTAATGAATGAATGTTTGCTGTAAAATACTTATCAGTGCTATAAGTGTAGCTCCCAGTTTGGCCGCCAATTTTGATTTCATTCCTTTAAGTTAAACACTCAATCCTGTTTTTTTGATCGCACCTTTTTTTTCACACCTAAGGTTTTTTTGATTAGATCATATCTTACCAAAGTGAAAAGCACGTGCAAAATATTCGGAAGAGTTGTGTATTCTCGAAACAGGAAAAATAAAATCTTGCGCATAACTGATGAAATATCGATTTTGATCGTACCTTTGCCTATTTATAATTTTCTGGTATAGTGTAAAATATGAGATTAACGCGCTTTTTTCCTGCAATAAAGCCCTGTCATAAGAAAAGGACAGATTTAGTATAAAATGTCAAGGAGAAATTTTAACATCGAACAGTTGTAAAGGCACAAAACTGGAATGGATATTAGTTAACTTCTTCAAGAATCAATTGTTAACAAACCTTCTCATAACGAAACAATGATCAAAAAGTTACTCATTGATACTGAAGAAAATATACGCCCGCTGTATGCACGTATGAAGAACAATAACAGGACATTCAATTATGAACACTTACATTATAGAGTTTTATACCAAAACTAACGATCTTATCATGGAGTTTACATATGTCAGCATTCTCTCTAATGATGTTATATAGAACAAGTAAAAAGAGGCTGTTACTATAATGCTTCACAACCGTGATTAACCAGAGGGTGAAAATCAAAACTTTAGATAACCGCTGAGTAGCACACATAGAGAAAAGACGCACATTTTTTACCAGAATCATTGGTTTCATTTGCTATATTATAGTAAACATATAGTAAATATATATATTTATGGAAATGTGACCCCTTTAAATATTTCCCTTGCATTATTTGTATATTGTTAAAGAAGTTGCATGTGTTGTTAATTACGTTATTCACAAAATATTTAGCTAACACTAAATTAGAGAAATTACTCTTAAAAGAAAGTACTTTCAGGATCGTTCTTTTTGTTGTTTTGTTAAAAGTAATAATTATAGAAAGTGTAATTTTTGTTGCTCTTTTCAGGCTGGTAAGTTACAACAATTAAATTGCTTGTATCAAAAGAAAGTCATATACATGTATATATATCACTGGCCACTGAAAATATAGTAATAAATATTAAACTTAATGCATTGGCTTTAACCCTATATAAACCTACATTCACTTTAGTGAAACAATTTTGCATTTAACAAGCAAATACGCCGACTGTATTTAATAGCTAAGATACTTTATCAATGAACATTTCGACTCTTTTTAAAGACAGTAGCTCACACGATGATGGGTCTCTTAAGTATCAGACTTGATATTGACGCGGAAAGATTATTATGGACAGAGTAAAAATATATATACATTATTATAAAAGATATATGTGTGTATCCTATTAAGCATTTTAATTAATTTATTCAAAGAAAAGAAACTGGTTACCTTACGATTAAAACTTGAGCTGTTTAAATTACGTTATTAACATAGCTTATAGATAAAATAATGAAATATTAAGCTAAAATATAGAAATACTAGCTGACATACCCGTTCAATGCACGTAGAAGATATAGCGGCCTCTGGAGGTATCATAGAAGGGTCACATCCGATAGCAGACAGTATATGTCACTCATTGGGAGGCGCCAAGGGTGCATGTCAGCTTTGCTAATAATTGGTTCGACAGTTATAAGAGAGACCTTTAAAAAATAATGGTTTAGATAACATTTCAATCTTCACGATGAATTTAAATGAATAGTTATTAAATTTAAGTTTGGATAATAATACTATATATCATGTAATCTTTGACGATAAATTTTAAATAATTGAACAACCCTAGTTCTATTCATATTTTGCTTCTTTTTTTAACTTCTAGTTAAAATAGTTAGTATCATCATTTTGGTATAAAGGTAAACAGATTTGATCAGGTTTATATAAAGGTAAACAGATTTAATCAGGTTTATATTTTTTCTTCTTTAACACGGAGTAATGAGTTTCTGATGATATGAATTTTTTGATATAAATGTAAATTTACAGCTCTGATCTGCTTCATTTTGACTTTTTGTCTTTAATAAAGAGTTATATCTTTTCTAGTTTTATACGTGTACCTTGTTCAAATGATACATAGATTTGAACACGTTGGTTTTCAACTTCTCTACCCCTTTACAATGATAAGTTTACAGAGTTACATGGTACATAGTTATTTCTCGACCTAATTCTATATGTTTCTCTCAGGAATGGTGTTCCTTCAGTATCGCAGCGAAACAAAACGAGCGCTTCTACCCAATGAAATCACTACCCTAGATACAGTGAAGGCACTATTTGTCCGCTCCTTCCCCAAACAACTAACCATGGAATACCTAGATTCACCTCACCTTCATATCTACATACATGATCCTTCTAAGGACATGTTTTATGAACTCGAAGATTTACGGTGAGTCCTCGACCATTTTTATCTTGACACACTTTCTTTCTGTCTTTTTTTACGAATGCATATGTATATAATGCTTGAGGAAAACTATATATTACTGGTCTGCAAATTATCTTATTCGAACAATACTCAAGGTAATACCGATATTAGATATTCATGAATATATATATATGTAGGTTTGCATACAAAACTATGTATTTAGAAATTATAGCATATTGCAATTTGATTTTATGTTCTGTTGTAAATGTGGGATTTCACATATTATATTAACGTTCTTCAAGTATTCATGAATACCGATTTATGTAATTGAGTTTATATTTCTCTCGTTTTTCTTTCACAACATATTATGCATATAAGGATGTTGTTATTGTTGTTCTGACAATATAACTGGTATAATGCACAATATTCTTAAAGATAATTTTGAAACATTTATATAGAGATATAGTAGACAGTAGTTTAGGTGTTCTTTAAATATTTATACAGTAATGACGTACATCATTTCAATAGAAAACATGTTTTAGGATTGTTGAAGCTTTTTTAAACAAGTATTGATTTTTTGCTTACAATAAATATACATCTTAACTCACCAGGCAACAAAACTCACTTTATTAGTAGCTACGAAATACTATCTGAGTGTATGAATATTTTTAATCAGAAAGGGCTGATACATATTCCTCACAAAAACATTCGATTTTCGGTGCCGTCAAACTAACTATAAAATGCCAAATAAAGTCAAAATTAAATTATGATACATTCCCATTTCAAGGCGACTTTATACCGACTGCTGTTGTCACGGATTTGCTGATTTGCATATTCAAAATAATTTTAATATAACGAGCTTCAACCTCGGTAATTTGATTTATAATGTTTCAAAATTTATATAGAAATATTAGATGTTGACTAAAATATGTGACTTATTTGCATAGTCCAGTCTGGGATAAATATCCATTTAGATATATTGAAATATTAGTTCAGCGATCTTCATATTGGTTTAAAAATGTTTGTGTAGATATATTAGATTTATGTTTAGAAATGCTGAAATATTTTTACAGTGATATTCGTGACCGGTCGGTATTGAGAATCTACGAACAAGACGTTAACAGCGGAGGTATGCATAGCAGCTTTGACCAAGATCTCAGTTATTTCTCAGAACCAGAATTTGACTCTGAATATCAACATCAGCATATACATAGGGCAAAGGTAAGTAGCTTTTTTTTAAACAAATTATATGAGCAGCTTAAAATATTGTGAATTAAAATAATACTTCTTATGTACAAAACTCATTAAGCTGCTGTAAAATACTGTGAATATAGTGTTGTGGGAGGGTTAAGGGAACAAGGACTAACTTCATTTGTGTTACTTATTACAGTATGGTATTATGTATCATTGGTATGTTTTTGACGACTCCACCACATAGTAGTAGTATATTCTAGGCACTTATGGGTCGATTGTGTCCATTAGATAACAATCTTAATGATAGCTAGTAGCCTATATGAACATATACTTCTAATTACTAATTAGTTTATATGAACGAGGGCGCAAAGTAATGGGCGCATAACTGCCTTTCTAACAAGATGACCAACCGTCTGATTTTAGCTTCTACCACCACATAAAGTATGAATTAATTGATAAATGATATCCAAAAGTAATAATAATAAATAGCAAATTAATTAAGTGATTGTAAGGATTATTAACTGTGACCACGATGTAGATTTCTTGTTATGTATTGTGATGAAAAATTAGAACAAATATTATATATATTTATTAGTATTTCTTTTTTCTCAGTAACATAAATCTGTAGCTTCTAAATCAGTTTAAGAAAGATACCGATTATCTATACTGCTAAATTTCAAATCCAACAAACTTTTAAATATTAATTATTTGGTTAGATTCACAGAATGTTTCAAACGAACAATGGCCTTTGAAAAACTCAATTAGTTCATTAATATTTTAGTATTTTTCATTAAAAGATTTAGTTAAAAATAATTTCTCAAGGTGGAAAGTAAGGAAAATTTCGAAGGAGGTTTAAATCTATAAGTCTTTCTCTCATATTTTGTACATTTATCGTTATATTATAACAATTTTCTTGTGTGATATGTTGAAATGTTCTTTACATCCACTCACATAAATGTATACATGCATTGTTAATTATGGAATTAAGAACGTAAAGAATATACTCAATTTTGAAAAGTAAGTAACGATGTTTAACACCTATTTAGCATAATAATATAAAATGTTATACTATTTTCTGTTTTTTGGTCAACAAACTACATTTTTATAATAGTAAAATCAATTTGCTACAGTTTTTAATATTGATCTTAGGCCACAGTTTGAGAATGAACAAGCTCTCTCATTCGGAAGCTTTTTCATCATTGGCCCTTGCTGACATCTTAAACAAGTTAGATTGAACAACAACAGCATGTTCAAGTACATTAGACTTGATAGGGAAGCTTAAATTAGCATGTTCTTTCACTCGCGCTATAATATTTCTTTTAGTTAAACCGAGGTTACATCGGTCCTACTAAGAGAAAAATGATAACGTGAGTAAAAGAACATGCTAATCTAAGACACCCCTATTAAAAGTAATGTACTCCGACATGTCCTAAAATAATGTAAAATTGTTGTCCAATTTATTTTGTTTAAGATGTCATCAAGGGCCAATGATAAACAGAGCTGAGGCTTGAGATGAATGTTAAAGCGGGCTAATGTTAATGAATGTTTTTACTTATTTTAGAATTGGATTGAATCGTGCTCAATTCAGAGAAGTTATACACTTCTATTTACGAAATTTTACAAGTTTTCTTTGAATTTTTTCCTCGTTTTCTTAAAGAAAAATCTCGTATTTTCTTGCTGAGTTGTTTTTTTCTGTGAGCGTGTTACATAGGAAATGTATAGTGGGAAGTATAGAATTAACAACATTTAAACAAAAGCTTATCCTTTAATATCAATAAATATTCCAAAATGATAATTGGAGTTCAAATATATATATATTCTAAATTGTTAATAACTTTTAACTTTTTAAAATACTGTTTATTGGAATATAACGTTCTATGAAAAATAACGTAGCACATCTCTTAGTATTGGAAAGGACCTTGTCCAATTATTACATATTTGAGACATATTGTTAACGTTGGAAGATATTTCTTTGAACGGTCTTTTCTTTGTAATTGTTGTTTTCATAATTTCAAACTTATAGTGTATATATACATATATATAGTGAGAGAGAGAGATAGATAGACACATAGTTATCAGTATGTTATCATCTGGCTTTAAATCGTGCAATATAATGTATATTTCTTGTTTGTTTGTAATTAAGAACAAAGCTACGCAATGGACTATCTGTGCTATGCCCACCACGGGTATCGAAACCCGAATTCTAGCGTTGTTAGTCCGCAGATATACCGCTGTGCCACTGGGGGCATTCCTTGTTTCCTTATTTTTATGTAAGACGTAAGAAAGTCAGTTCTCTTGGTAAGAAGTCTTCGAATCTCCTGTACTATTTAGACAGTGTGAAAGAAAAGATTTATTGTATATAAGAACAACCTTTCCACCAGGTAAAGCAGTATATAAAATTGTCTAAGTTTATTATCAATGAATACCGTAAGAACAAACTCAGAGTCAGATTGTTGGCCTGTTGTTAAGCGCAAAACCACAACATGAGCTATCTGTGCTGTGCCTACCACAAGCATCTAAACCTGGTTTATAACGTTATATGCCTTCAGACTCGCAGATGAGCCACTGAGAGGTACTCAGTGTCAGTAACTGGAGAAGCAAGATTAAGTTATGCCCAAATAGTCTTCGAGTCTTGCAAAATAGACCGTATTAATAATATACAAATAATATAATATAACACAATCATTAGTACCTGAAGTTATTGATTCACAGAGAAAGCGTTAGAAGAAAAATAAAAGCCAACGAAGACAAAGCTTCCTCTGTAAAGTTGCATAAGCATTTGAAATATAAGAGAAAAGAAAAACTCCACATTCTCTATTTTGCTTATAAACTTTAATTATTAAGCGTTTATGAAATGCTGATTGTTTTATGATAGAGAATTTTGCATTATTTCTCTGACACTTCCATCTCCCCTGTTTATCGTAAAATAGAAAACCTGGAAATAATATGAATAATTTTGGCAAACTGAAAAATTATAAAACACGAAATTAATATTCAGACGTAATGTTTCTTTTGGCATTATTTTAGAGAAATAATTGCATCTAAAATTTCTAAAACAGAATAATTATTTAACTTCTCTTGAAACGGTGATATTGTGAAATTGTATACATTGTAATCAAGGTGGCACAAATAAATCGAATACATATAATTTGCTTATGCATTATTTATCCTTATCTAACTTTTTTGTGCCATTCGACATTTAATTTAATTTTCATATCGAACATTCATAATGATAAATCTTAAGCGGAAAAAGCGTATTATGTAGATACAGCTTATTTTCGTAAAACGACCATACTTTGCTTGGCTATGAGTGAGTGACTTCTTCAACAAAGAAATCAGACTATCCATGTAATTAAAGTGAGGAAACCATTGCCAAAATAAACACAAGAATGATGAGTTAGGCTCTTTGCTTGCATCTTTTTTCTGCACGGAATGCAGACATAGTTTAGTTTGCTTTTTTTCGTTGTTTCCTGGAGAAGTTGAGCCAGTGAAACACGCAAGTTAGGTGCATTCCCTCATTTGAGATGTTCTTTGGGCTGTTATCTGCTGCAATCAGCAACGTCTGGGTAAGTAGTCGTCTCGTTGGATGGATGTTTATTTACCTTATATCTGCGGTGTCTCAGAAAGTCATGAAAAGCCCCGTCCCTTTCAAATATATTATTTATGATTCACCTTATAACTTACTGGTATTGAAATAAGTCTAACTGATGTTAATTTTCGTCTTAAATATTTTCAATACATACATTTTTTTTACTCAGACTATTTGACATAACACCGTGAAAAATGAACTGATTTCAATTTTCAACTTAAAAATGTAAACGTTTCTACTGTTATATATTACAATTTTGAATCATCTGAATCGAGCTAAATGAGAGTTTAAATTTAGTAGTAAACTAAATGACGATATATATCAAATTTATGATATTTGCCAACAAGATTGATACACACTTTTCTTTTTTTTTAATACACAAGCAATAATACGATTTACAATTACAAATAATTATTAGAAACAATAATTTATATACAAAAGTTTTACAAACCTACAAGCAATATAAAGTCTTCCTTCTATTCTGAAACTTCCTTGATGTCTTATCGCGGGTTCACGATGAGCGAGTTAATTTCGAGTTGATGTAGATACAATTCACTTAATAGGTAGCTATCTAGCTCTGTGAAATTCACTGATCACACGCCGATGTTTCCTACCGGTGAAGTTAGAAAATGTTTTCGTAAAAGAACTAATGTCCGATGTGAATCCACTGAAGTTAAACGGTTTGTAATATTCGAAATTTATGCACGTTCCTGGTCAATATATCTGAAGTTCCCGATTAATAAGGGTTAATTACAATTATAGCTTACGAAGCACACTAATTACAGCAACCCAATAATAGATACTGTTTTATGGCGGGTCGCGTTCGTTATATTTATAGGAGTGTGGAGATTTTCTCGAAAATTCAGATTATTTAACAATACAAAGCTACACTAGCGTTTACGTACGCACATA